TTCGCGGCTTGGAATGTTGGTGGGGGTGGTACTGGGAGCTGAAAGCTTTGGCAGCTCTGCACCCGTCCCAAGGGGCTCCGGGAGTTGCTCTGGTGTTGGGGATGTCGTGTTTGGCGGCAAAGACGTTTTTTTGCTCATGATGGGTTGACCCAGGTTGCTCCGCGGTGGGTCAAATGCTTCTCACCAGACCTTGTTTGCGTGTGCCATCGTAAAGCGTGCGCGTGTGGAAATGCACACCTACGTGTGAACATGCAAGAAACATATACCCATGCACGCACATTTGTGCATGGGCGCATTTATAACAAATTATGCATATGTAGATTTCTTGTTGATCAATGTATGCATATGTGCATGCATGCACTTGCTAGAATCAACTCTGGATCAGTCACAGGGATAATTGCTTCCAGTGGGTAAGCAATTTACTTCCAAACGACCAGATCGGTACAGTCATCCAAACTGATCCAGTTGCTTTTGAGATCCCCAATCTTGACACACAGTGGGATAAAAGCAGATGTCGCAATTCCAACCCATGTTGCTTTAGCAATTTTTATACAAAAATACGCCAGCATAGACCCCAGATTGCGAAAAACTACACCTACACCAGCACCCCAAACTGCATGCCCCCTAGCCCTACCGTCAATCTCGCAAAAACGCGACCCAGAGCAGCACCTGCTCCCATCCCAAACTGCATGCCTCGTAGCACCCTGCCGTCAATCTCGCAAAAATGTGCCCGCGCCGCCACCGGAACCCCAAAACACCACAGGCCCCAGCACCCCCAAACACCCCAAACTGCATGCCCCCTAGAACCCAGCCATCAATCTCGCACATCATGTTCCCCTCTTCATAAGAAGATACAACCCCTACCCGCATCCGGGAAGTGCCCCATCTACTTTTTCACGGAATCCAAAAAAATATGTGGTTGTGGCTTGTGCTTCTTTTTTTTTGTTTCCCTCAAGCTGGTGGTCCGTGGTCCGGTGGCTTCTGTAGGCCCAGCTGCTTCGGCGCCTGGGCCGCTTGGCTGGGGCCTGTGCGGAGGCAGCGGCGGCGCTGGGCCCGGAGGGCTGGCCGTGGCTCGGTGTGAAGTCATCCCCGTGGGCTTTTAGCATTTTGAGATTCCAAAAGTTGGTTTAGTGGGGGTTTCCATTTAAACTTAAAAGTGACACTTTGAGGGCCCAGCGAAGCACCCTGGAAATCCGCCTGGGGGCAGCGGTGGGGAAACAAGCGGCTGGTGTGTTTGGCAGGGGCTGGCTCGGATGTCTCGGAAGCCGAGGCTGCCAGTGCCGAAGATCCTGGGCCTTGATGTGATCCTGACCAGGACGTCTCCCGGAGGCGGCCAGGACGGCCTTTGGTTCCCCAGTGCAGCTTCTGGAAAGGGCGTGCCGCAATGTCGAGCAGTTGGAGCCATTCCTTGTCACGCAACGCAATCGGCCTAGAGAGAACAAAGAAACCTGAAGGCTGGCTGGAAGCTAAGAAGCTTCACGTCACCAAGGGCCACAGTGCCCGCATCCCGTCTCAGGCACTGCGGCATTGTGGCCTTGGCTCCTGGAGGCCGGCAGCGGAAGTGGATAGAGAGGAGCGTATTGGGGGGGGGATCCCAGAGTTCATTTTCAGCCGGGCTGCTTGATTGCTTCTTCGTGCCCCCAGCAACTAAACCCAAGCATCAAAATACAAAGCACAGACACGCGCGCTCGCGCACACACACACAAACACAAGGATGCTATTTTGTATTCTTTTCCTTCTTTTCTTTCCTGAGTTGGGTGGGTGGGTGGGTGGGTGGGTGGGGGGAGGGGCAAAGGTTTGAAGTGATCATGCAATTTGGCGCATGCTGCGGAAGCCAGAAGCCATCCATTTTCGGCCCAGGTGAACCGCTTCCCGGCGCTGGGGCTGCGCCACGAGGACGAGAAGGAGGTGAAGCTGCCAGCCCCGTGGCACCAGTGTCGAAAGGGGCGGAAGCGCCAGGCGCCAGGTTTGGTGGAAAGGGACCCCTGCAAGGAAGAGTACTTCCTTCCACTGTTTTGACAAAGCGAAGACGGCTGCTTTGGGGAAAACGACAATTTTATCGTTTCACAACCATGCTGAAAGGCCTGCCTCTTGATGAGTCAGGTGTTCAGAATGCAGGCTGCTCTGGTTAGCCTTGCTGCTATACACAGAGGAGGCTCGTGGTGGTGCAACCCACTTCCAATCTTGCAGTTCAATGACCTGCTGGAACCTTGATTAGCTGCATGTCAATTCGTTGTTGCAACAATTAGCTTACATACCAGCAGTGTCGTTGTGTAATATGGCCTCCCCGATTCCGTGGGATCCCGTAACTGGAGCCCTTGCAGCTTGAAAAAGTCCACTGAGGGAAGATCATTGTGTTTGCATCTTTAACAGCTTTTCGCCTGCGTTTGAGCCTTGCTAGTTTGGTGGTTTTTCGACGTTTCATGTGGCCCTTGAGCCAATCCGCTCAGGTGGTGCGAGACGCCTGGCGTCTGGCGGCAGATGCTTCGCAGGAAAGCCTCGGCTGCCTTCGGAAGCTGAGGGGAAGAAAAGGGGGTGCGTCAGTGCGTCCGCTCCACTTGGGTTGGGAGATGCGAGCATTTTCGGGGTCCGCTGAATGCATTCAGATGCTCACATCGCGCAATCAGACAGGGAGAGCCATGCGTTTGATGTGCTTAGCGGCCACGAAGCCGAAGATCAGTTCTATCGGGTTGATCCATCCTTGCGTAAACCCTGATAGGCCTGTGACATGCCTCGGATCTTTCCCTTTGAGGCTGGCAGGCTTGGAATTCCAAGGTCCGCCGACGGCAGACATTCATTGAGGCTCAGCTTCGTCAACCTGTACATACTTTTGACGACCCCAGGCTTGGGCCCCCATGGATATCCCCATGGATGTAGTTCCTCGGCTGAATTGGTTGGCATTGGCTTCCGGACGGTTCCTGGTTTGGGCAAGCATATTGGGTCACACGGGCGCGCTTCAAAACATACTCTCACACACACACACACACACACACGCACGCACGCGCATGAATAAGTGTGCAAACTTGAAGATCTATACAAATATATACATGAAAGAGAGACACGCACATGTATTAGCCTGGCCTTTTTCTATGTATACATATTTTGCATCTAGGGTTTTTGCAACCAGCCAAGGTGCAAATCCGGATCTGCGAGGGCCAGCGGGTGGTGGACGAGGTGCTCATGCAGGCTCCGCTGTGTGGACGTCCGCTGTGAATGTCTTAATGGCAAAGTGCTCATTGGAGCCAACCATGTTGGTATGAACCAATCGTGTCGGTTTTCTGTGGAGCCAACCGTGTTGGCAAACTTTGGGTGACGCCAAATGAGTTGTAACAAATGGGTCCCTTTCGGATGCCACACGCACACAGGCAGATATATATATGTATATATACATGCATATTCCGTCGGTGCAGGACTGGAATCCCTTGATTAGAACTGGTTGAATAGGAAGGGGCCGCTTTTTCGGCCTCCCCCACCTTCCCCCACTTTCCCCACCTTTCCCCACCTCCAACCCCATCCAAGCCCCCCATCCCAACCCCCAACCCGTCTCACGAGGGTCTGCAACAACTGCCCTTTCAGAGAATTAACCATGTTGGAGCCAAGTATGTTGGAGCCAACTATGTTGGAGCCCGCCATTTTGTTCTCTTTTTTTTTTTTTTGGTGGGGGGGGTTAACACACACACACACATATATATATATATATACACACATATTTATTACATATCACAGGAGCGGTTTGCGCAGGCCGGCGAGATGCAGGAGATGCCGGGCCTCGCCTTCGCGGCCATCTGCAAGCGAGTGGAACACGCGCTGCGAAAACCGGTGAAGAGGGCCACCCGGCGGAGTTCGGCAGCGGTTTCGGGGAAGAACACGGGTTTTCTGGGTGGTTTCTTTAGGCGGGCCTCCTGGTTGTCAGCTTGTTTTGGTTTTTACGGTTTGAGAGGTTGGCCCCGGGGTGTGTGCTTCCACTTGAATCGGCCGAAACACGGAGGGCGCATTCCACTAAGGTTCAGTACAAAGACAATGAGGGCGATCTCTGCACCCTTTGCGCGCCAAGCATCACAGATGCCCTGGACACCGTCGAGGGCGGGATCTTGGATTTGCACGTTGTGGTGGAGCAATCGGAGTTTTCGCCTCCACCGCACGTTGAGAAGGAGGATGTGAGTGATGCGAGGGTCACGCACAACGGGCAGCCATTGCCCAGTGCAATCCTCAAGGAGGGCGTGCAGGCATGGCTGGACAAGGAGCATGTGTACAAGAATGTTCCCGAGCAGCTTGTGGGTGCCACATTGTTCAGATCCAAGCAGTTGATTCCTGGCGGTGACACGTTTACAGTCGAGGCACCGGCAGGGTCCGCCATTTACATCTTCAGCGAGGCGCACAGAGATGGGGGCTTTCCCACGCTTGGGTGGCAGAAGTTCGATGCCAATCGCTTTCGTTGGCAGGCCGAAGATGGCAGCTTTTTCGGCGTTGACCTCTGGAAGTGCGTGGGGACAGGGTCGCCAATCAGCATCACGCTGAGTGACGCACTCATAGGTGGCATTGCAGTCCAGAAACCTTTGCAGGATGACATCGATACAGCCCGTGAAGTGGAGGAGCTGGTGGCATGGTTGCATTCAGTTATTGCTGACCTTGACATGACCCGATTCTTTCAACGCCTGGGTGAAGCTGGCTTGCAGCTGTTATCAGAGCTGCAGGGGTTCTGGGTTGATGCGTGGGCGACTCTGATGCAGCCGCTTCACAGTCTTGCCGCGGGCAGCTTCGACTTGACTCAGCTTCAGCTGGAAGCTTTTGGCAAAGTGGCCATGGAGGCTTATAAGAAGTTGGATGCATCCCTGCAAGCACGGGCCAGAGGGTTTCTGAAGGCCGCTATTGACAGGATCCAGGAGGAGCTTTGTGTGGAGGAGAGGCATCCTAACGTGATCTGCGATGGCTGCGACCAGGAGCTGTTCGGGCGGCGCATGAAGTGTGTCACTTGTCCGGACTATGACCTGTGCATGCGCTGCTACCACCAGTGCGATGCTTGGCCAAATTCTATTCATGTTCAGCAGGTGTCGCTGTGTTTGTTTGTTTGTTTGTTTGTTTGTTTGTTTGCTTGCTTGCTTGCTTGCTTGTTTGTTTGCTTTTTTTTTTCTTCTTTGCATCTTGCTTTCTCGTTTCGTCTCGTCTTACCCCGTCTTGTTTCGTTTCTTTGCTTGTTTTTTGGTCGTGTGACTCAGTGTGAAGCTTACGGTTGCCTGGGCGCTCCCAACATGGGGTCCCCACTTGTTGTTGTTGCATGGCCCTACCTGTGGGCAGTTTTTTCCTGCTGCGCACAAAACGAGCTCGCCAGTACAATAATTATAGCGTGGAAGGTCCCTTGGCGGTTCCTTTCTCGAATTTATATAGTACCTTTGCCCCAGAATCTGTGGAGTGGAGGCAGTCTTGCAATGGTCGGAATGGGACAAGTTGGAAGCAAACTTCTTGGAAGCAGCAGCGGCCTTCATCCCATCAGGGGGCGTTTGTACATTTGGGCAAATTAGGAACTCCAGAAGGCTTGCTGTTCATACCGCTCTCACCAAGTGGCAACCAGAAAGCAAGTATTTTGAGACCTAACTCCAGGCTCGATTGGAATTGCGACAAGCATGGCGGATGGGAGACTTTTTGCCAGACGTATGACAAAGAGGTATTCTTTTTACCCATTCTAGTATTCAAATGCTTTGATTCATGTGTTTTGTCAGTCGCATTGTGTTTTGCTGATATCGACTCTTGGTACCTCAAGTCTCGGATCCCAGGAGCAGCTCCACCCGGGCCACCGCTTTGCCCGGGTGGCCCCGCGCCGGCCGCCGGGCCGCCGCGAGCCGCGCTCCAAGCGCCGGAGGTCCGAGCCGAAGGCGCGGCCAAAGGGACCGGCGTCGAACAGTTTGGGGCGGTGATTGGCCGTGGTTTAGGCCTTTTTTTGCGGCAGATTTCCAGCAACCCCTAAAATAGAAGGCTGCTCCTAGGGCAGACCCAAAGTTTGGGGGCTTCCTATTGCGCTGGTTTCCTCTAGCCTTGCTTGCCGCCATCCTGGTTGCCGACTCGGGTTTAACAGGCTTTTCATGTGAAGCGAGCAGATCTTTCGGCGAAATCTGTGGTCTCCGACATTATTTTGTGCGATAAGGCTGGCCAAATATCAAGCGCAACCAAAAGGAAGACGCTAAATCACGAAAGGTAGCCTCGGGGAGGCTGCCTTGAGTTTTCCTTGCGTTAGCAAGGCTTATGAAGAAAGGGGGTCCAGGGGGTGGTCACCCAACGCAACCCCTGAAAAATCCTCTTGGTCCGCCCTCGGGCCTTCCGCCCGGGCCATGATGGAGGCCGGAGACTCAGTTCGTTCTTCTCCCATGCCCGCCAAGCTAGAATCTTTCCCTGATACACGCATTTCATTCGCGCTCACGTTTGCGCTGCGTCCCTCCACCCTCCGGTGCCACCAGTACCTGTGCAGTCCGCTCTTGGCCCCTGCAGCCCCGCAAGCCTGCTACCTTTCGTGTCTCCTTCTCAAGTATCAAGAGCAACCCAGAAAAAGTCGAATTGCATGGGGTTTGCACCACAGCCCTTCATGCAACTTCCCCTTCACAATGCGGTTCCCAAAATTGTTGTTTTTTTCATGCCTAGGCAATGCGCTTTTTTTGCATTACTTTTGGCTCAAGTTCAAAAGGAGCACGCGCTGCCGTGCATCTTGCGTCATGGTCATGTTTCTTTACTTTTACTTGACGTTTTGGTGATTTCAACTAAAAAAGGCGTTATGGGTATGTCAGGCGATCTGTTATTGGTGTACCCTTGGGTTCGGCCAGCCCAGTGAAATGCATTCTGCATGGGTTGAGCGAGGCCCACAGGCGAGTTCAGTTTTGGGCCGAGTGCTGTCAGTTTGATGGGGCGTCGCAAGGCCTTAGGCCTGGGAGAGGTATCCCCGCGCTCCTCCCTTGCTTACTCATCTCAAACTTGCTCCCTTTCATTTCCCATGGCCCATGGCACAGCAGCTCAACTTTGCCTCCACCGCTTCAAATCAAAGCGAAAGAGCCCATGAGGTTCCCCCCAAACACATTGCCTCCAAATCCCCCCTTGGCCAGGTCCCACATCGCGTGGAGCCCAAGGTGGAGCCTAAGACCGAACCTGTGGAGGCGAGGGTCGCTTGTATGGGTCAAGCTTGCAGGGCTCGCTCACCGCCGCCCGTCGGATCCCAAAAGCCTCTTACGGTTGACGAAGGGATTTGTGATTGCCTTGGAACTCACAAAGTGCAAACGGGTGAGGCTACCTCAAAAAAGACGCCCAGAATTTAAAAAACCTAAGCTCGTTGGTCTTTTGCCTTTTGTCCTTGGAGCTGCGGCTCGACGGTTCCAGTGCCCCAGAAGATCAAAGGAGACTGCAAACAGGTGTGATGGAGGTTCTATGTGAGGTCTTCTTTTTTAAACCCAGGTAGTTCGCGCCTGAAATCTCAGAGAGACTGAGAGAGACCGTGCGATCTCTGGAGGGTGCAGGCCCTAGCACCCCAATGAATCCACAATTGGCTTGTTTCAAGCAGTGTTTGTCTTCCATTCTTCGCCGAGCCCCAAATCACATGCTTCTATAGTTGGCATCTTGCCAATAAAGGACTAGGGCCTTCCACCTCGGAATGCAACCTCACCCAAAGCGGGATACGACTCTGCAAGGCTGAGGAGTCGATGGCAGTGCAGCCCACAGAGCCACCGGAGGGTCAGGCCGGGGAGAGTCATTGACGAGTCTTTTTGGGTGTTGGCATGCGTCAGTTCGTCAAACCAAGGGGGGGGTAACTTCAAATGCTCGCACGATTTACGGGTGATGCTTTCTTCTGTTGTCTTGTGAGTATTTACAGTATTGAAGCACCAATTAGATTCTGATGTCTTTGGACAAGTCTAGTCTAGCTTCGGATTAATCTGACAACAGGAATTCTGGCCAAGTGTGGGCGTGGGCGTCAGCTGCACGTGGCATTCCGATTGACTTCATGTTGCGTGCAGCTAGCCTTCTCAATTCCTACAAGGAAGAACCGAGCTGCAGGCACATTCCGGAGTTTTTGCAGGAAACTGGTTTCCTACCTTCCGGACTTTGCATTTCAAGGCCCGTGGAGCAACGCTGATGTCTGCCCCCCTCCTCAGGCAGCCCTGTTCCAAGATATGCGCATCTCCACATTGTTCTTGAAACGGAAGCCCCGCAAAAATATAAATATAACAAATCCAGACACCGGCTGCTGCGGTTCTTTCCGAGTTTCCCTTTTTTGGTTTCCCAAAACGGCCCCCACCCAACCCCCCCCCCCCCCCCAACGGATCGGAGCGCGCGGATCGGAGCGCGCGGAGGCGGCGGAGGCGCTGCAGCTGCTGCTGAGGCACCCGGACCCCGCGGTGCGCCTCGCGGCGGAGAAGGCCATGGGCCAGGCCGGGGGGGCAGGGGGAGGGACCGGGGAGGGTCGCAGGCTGGTTGGGTTTTAGGGGACGGGCCAAGGAGGGGATGGGTTGGGTGTACCCACCAAAGCCAGAAAGGTCGATTTTTCTTTGGTTCAATGGACATGTTCCATTTGCCAAGAGGACATTTTCGGGGGCGAGTTGGTCACAATCAAAAAGGAGCCTTGCTCATCTTGTAGATTGATCGACGCAACAGTGTCGGGGGGCGGAGGCAAAAGGGTTGCTTTTGATGCTATGTAGGCCGAAAGCTTTTTCCCTCCTGCCCACGTGGCGCTCGGCGCGTCGGTCCTGCGTTCAAGTTTAGTGGGTGTACACGCCAACTTCTCTGGTTCATGAATTCGGCGATGAGGACACTAGAAGTCCTTGCAGGCGGCCCAACTTGTCAAGCACATTGTGGCGAGGAGGAACAGGAATATCATACTTGTTTGCATATTTATATGCACTTGTCCCTCTTTTTACCGGATGCTCTTCATGAGAAAGAAGCAATGCACAAGGGTGCCTCTTTTGGCTTGTGGTCACGAAGCAACAACACATGAAACTGTTTGGCAGTTCTGCACCAGAGTTTTGTTCGAGTCCTGGCCTGTTATGGCTTGTATCAACCCAAGATCAATTCCGTCAGGTGCAGGGCGCCGAGTCCGAGTCTGACTGGGAGGTGCTGGATGACCCCCTGTGAGGCTTCGCCTTCCCGCCTGGCTGTTGCAACCTTTCAAGACTTGAGCGTGGCTGGTGCAGGATGCGCATTTCATCGCGAATTGACTTGTGGTGGGGGGAAGTAAGCTCGAAAGTTGACCACAGAAGTTCTTGCATGGTGTTGATAGCGTTGTGATTGCAGATCGCAACCGATATTCAGAGCCGACCTGCTACGTAGCTTCAGGCTGACTGGTTTGAGTCTTGGGGATGTCACACGGACCTAGAATCAAACTGACCGTTCCGATGATCATGACGATCTCATGCGCGGACTGCAGACGGGACCTGCTGTGGTGGTACAGAACAAGCCGCGGCGCTATGACGGCCCGGGCTCGCCCGGGCAGTACTGATGCTCTCTCAGATTTGAAAAACCGACCGCGGCATAGGATTTCTTTGCGTGGGCTGAATGTTGGTTAGTGAGCTGAATGTGGCAACTGCAGACATGAGGCTCATTACCTGCCTGTTTTTGCAGAGCTCACGCTTTGGGCTCGAACAGAACGATTTAGCTGTCCTGTCGCGCACTCGGCCCTGGCAATGGCTCTTCAGATCTCTCTACTTTTGGAGGGCGAACAGGCAGATGGTTTCTACATGAATTCAGAAGAGATGCGGTCGCTCCCAGACCGCACCCTCGATGTGATCCGCCAGCGAGCGGAGGCGGTGCTCAGCCGGAGATCCCTGAAGTTGAACCGGATCATGTACAGGGATGAGGACAGGGATGCAGCTCCCAGGTGTTTGTAATTTCCTTTTGGATGTCTCTCATGCTGAAAAGCTCCCCTCATTATCCAAAGTTGTCAAACGTTCACTGTCTGAGAAAGCAACTCCTCAAGCCTTTTGCTACATCCTTTTCCCCGGCAGGAGGGGGACTACTGCACCTTGCTTGTGCCAAGCATCACGGATGCCCTAGACACAGTTGAGGGGAACCCGATCCTGGAGCTGCACATTGCGGCGGAGCCATCGGAGTTTTCGCCTCCACCACGCGTGGCAGAGAAGGAGCCATGTGCAGAGAAGGAGGATGTCAGTGACGTGAATGTCACGCACAACGGGCAGCCATTGCCCAGTGCAATCCTAAAGGATGTCGTGCAGGCATGGCAGGACAAGGACCATGTGTACAAGAATGCTCCCGAGCAGCTTGTGGGTGCCACATTGTTCAGATCCAAGCAATTGATTCCTGGCGGTGACACGTTTACAGTAGAGGCACCGGCAGGATCTGCCATTTACATCTTCAGCGAGGCGCACAGAGATGGGGGCTTTCCCGTGCTTGGGTGGCAGAAGTGCGATTCGAAGCGCTTTCGTTGGCAGACCGAAGATGGCAGCTTTTTCGGCCTTGACCTCTGGAAGTGCGTTGGGACAGGGTCGCCCATCAGCATCAGGCTGAGTGGCGCACTCATAGGTGGCATTGCAGTCCAGAAAGCTTTGCAGGATGACATCGATACAGCCAGTGAAGTGCAGGAGCTGGTGGCATGGTTGCATTCAGTTATTGCCGACCTTGACATGACCCGATTCTTTCAACGCTTGGGTGAAGCTGGCTTGCAGCTGTTATCAGAGCTCAAGGGGTTCTGGGTTGAGGAGTGGGCGACGCTTGTGCAGCCGCTTCACACTCTTACCGCCGGCAGCTTCGACTTGACTCAGCTGCAATCTTTTGCCCAAGTGGCCATGGAGGCTTATAAGAAGTTGGATGCGTCCCTGCAGGCGCGGGCCAGAGGGTTTCTCCAGGCCGCCATTGATAGGATCCAGGAGGAGCTTTGCATGGAGGAGGTGCATGGCAACGTGATCTGCGATGGCTGCGACCAGGATCCGATCTACGGGCGCCGCATGAAGTGTGCAACCTGTCCGGACTTTGACCTGTGCATGCGCTGCTACAAGCAGCTCGAGAAAGTGCACCCAGGCCACAGCTTCGTGCGAGTGCCTGGCGTCCACCTGCACCCGCCAGGTGCAGCTGCCGAAAGCAAAGCAGTCATGAGTGCTTGTGTAGGACAACCTTCTAAGTTTGTGGATGTTTTTTGCCAGATGATCCCCGGGCACGGTGCAGGTGCGGCCCCAAAGCCGGAGCCTTCAGAGGCGCCGCCGGCTTCCCCAGCCGCAAGTTCGCCGAAGGAGCTTCCGTGCCATTTGTCCGCTTGGCAGTCAGCAGCCAAAGGGGGTCCAGTGTTTTAGTATTGGGTCTGTCATATTTTCGACAATTCGGGATCGCCCCTTTGTGGTGGAGCTTTCTTCGGGGACCCCCTGATCAAGAACTGGGATGCTTTTCATGGGTCGACACTACCAAGGACGACCCCTTAAAAACGACAAAGTATTGGGGATGACTTGAATCACAGGGATGTATGATCATTTTCATGATTCATCCCTGTATCCTTTCTTTCAGTCGGGAGCCCTTGGTATCACAAGGCCTTCCCACACACAGGACCTGCCCGAAGACCAGCTGCCGCCCGCTCCGCCGTCGGAGCCTCCGACTGCGCCGCCCTCCGAGTCGCCGGCAGTGACGCTCTCGGAGTCATCGCCCAGGCGGTCGTCAGAGGCACCTCGATGTAAGGAATATGCCGCGAAAATGAACATGGAACCCACAAAAAAGCAGGCTGGTCCCTGGCTCCTCAGAGTTCTTTATTTTTGGGGGGGTGCCATGAAAAATGAGCGTCTTCTGGCCTGCGGTAGTATTTTGTGAAGGGCTAAAAAATATGTGGACTGGGAACCACAGTCATTCCAGAAGGGTTACATCGATGCCAAGCCAATCGTCCTTTGGACTCTAGCAGCCGGGCAGTGGGTCGCTTAGGCGTCGCGCGAATGGTTCGCTTAGGGATCGCGCAAATGGATCGCTCCGGGATCGCTTTTTGCAGAAGGCTTATCGCGCATGCATGCGTGTTGATATGTTTTCCTGGCGATGTATGTTTATATACGCGCATGCGCGAGCAGGAATGCGCTTGTTTGTGCTTGTTGGCGTGTATATCGCATGACATATGTGACGTGTATGTTTCATGACATATGTTACTATGTATGCTGGCGAGTCCATGTATGTGGTTGTGTGCATGCGTGTTGACATGTCAGTGGCGGACCCTTCCATTTTTCAGAGGTCGTATGTGGGTCCTGTTTTGGTTAGATGGTTGCGATCCTGTTAAGCACGACCCCCAATGAAACCAAACAAGACCACATGTGATGCGGTATCATCCCCCCACCCAACCCCCCCCCCCAAAGCCATGTTATTTTGTAATCCGGTACAAGAGTTGAGCGGATATGCTTATCATCCCACCCAGCCCCCCGCCCCAGAACCATGTTATTTTGTAATCCGGTAAAAGAGCAGGCTGGTCTGCAGCAGTTGAGCGGGTGTGCCTATCATGCCCCCCACCCAAGCCCCCCCCCCCCCAGAACGATGTTGTTTTGTACTCCGGTAAAAGAGCAGGCTGGTCTGCAGCAGTTGAGCGGGTGTGCTTGTCATGCCCCCCCCCCACCCCCTCCCCAGAGCCATGTTACTTTGTAATCCGGTAAAGGAGCAGGCTGGTCTGCAGCAGTTGAGCGGGTGTGCTTATCATACCAACCCCCCCCCCTCCCCAGAGCCATGTTACTTTGTAATCCGCCCCCCCCCCCACCCCCTCCCCAGAGCCATGTTACTTTGTAATCCGGTAAAGGAGCAGGCTGGTCTGCAGCAGTTGAGCGGGTGTGCTTATCATTGCCCCCCCCCCCACCCCCTCCCCAGAGCCATGTTACTTTGTAATCCGGTAAAGGAGCAGGCTGGTCTGCAGCTGTTGAGCGGGTGTGCTTATCATCCCCCCCCCCACCCCCTCCCCAGAGCCATGTTACTTTGTAATCCGGTAAAGGAGCAGGCTGGTCTGCAGCTGTTGAGCGAGGGAAAAGGAGCAGGCTGGTCTGCAGCAGTTGAGCGGGTGCGCTTATCATACCAACCACCCCCACCCCCTCCCCAGAGCCATGCTACTTCGTAATCCGGTAAAGGAGCAGGCTGGTCTGCAGCAGTTGAGCGGGTGTGCTTATCATCCCCCCCCACCCCTCCCCAGAGCCATGTTACTTTGTAATCCGGTAAAGGAGCAGGCTGGTCTGCAGCTGTTGAGCGGGTGTGCTTATCAACCCCCCCCCCACCCCCTCCCAGAGCCATGTTACTTTGTAATCCGGTAAAGGAGCAGGCTGGTCTGCAGCAGTTGAGCGGGTGTGCTTATCATACCATGAGGGCAACCAAACAATGTTGTACATCGTTTCCAGAAGGAGGTATATTAAATCAGTGTGCGCTAAAAAGCGGTCTTTGAAAAACATACGAGTATCTCTATAAAGCCGTAACGAGGTGTTGTGCAGTGTCTGTGTGTCAAAAACAGCCTGGGATTAACCCCCCCCACCCCCTCCCCAGAGCCATGTTACTTTGTAATCCGGTAAAGGAGCAGGCTGGTCTGCAGCTGTTGAGCGGGTGTGCTTATCATCCCCCCCCCCACCCCCTCCCCAGAGCCATGTTACTTTGTAATCCGGTAAAGGAGCAGGCTGGTCTGCAGCTGTTGAGCGAGGGTAAAGGAGCAGGCTGGTCTGCAGCAGTTGAGCGGGTGCGCTTATCATACCAACCCCCCCCCACCCCCTCCCCAGAGCCATGTTACTTCGTAATCCGGTAAAGGAGCAGGCTGGTCTCCCAGAGCCATTTTACTTTGTAATCCGGTAAAGGAGCCGGCTGGTCTGCAGCTGTTGAGCGGGTGTGCTTATCATCCCCCCCCCCCCACCCCCTCCCCAGAGCCATGTTACTTTGTAATCCGGTAAAGGAGCAGGCTGGTCTGCAGCAGTTGAGCGGGTGTGCTTGTCATACCAACCCCCCCCCACCCCCTCCCCAGAGCCATGTTACTTTGTAATCCGGTAAAGGAGCAGGCTGGTCTGCAGCTGTTGAGCGGGTGTGCTTATCATCCCCCCCCCCACCCCCTCCCCAGATACTTTGTAATCCGGTAAAGGAGCAGGCTGGTCTGCAGCAGTTGAGCGGGTGTGCTTATCATACCAACCCCCCCCTCCCCACCTCCGTCATCAATGAATGTGATCCCTAAGTGATCCGTGAATGTGATCCTCAAGTGAGCGTGTATCCCTAAGTGACCGTGATCCCTAAGTGAACCGTTTGAGCGATCCCTAAGTGACCTGTTTGCCCTAGCAGCCCCCCCGGAGCCCTCCCTTGGAGCTGACTGGCGCCCATCGGAAGGGCGGTTTTGCTTGACAGGCGCACGTGAAGCCAACACCTATGTTCCAATAGGTAACGCGGATCTCCAACCCGACAGCAGCAAGCACAACGGCAGACATCAATGGAGTGTAACAGCGCTCAAGCCCCGCGGTGGCACTGACAAAATCCACGCCAGGCACCAAATGACAAATGCCATGGTAACGGAACAAAGCTTTCCAATGCAAAGGCCAACCAGTCGAAACACTCAGACGGCAACAACCCTGCAGCAACCCTGACCACCAACCCAAAACAGCCCTCGGCCATTGCCAATCGACATCAATTGCGTTGAGACAGCCCTGCCTGTCAGCATAGTTGTGGTAAATCACCCCTTCCTGTGATATCAAAGCGGGCCATCCCAAAGTCGACTATATCAGATCAAGAAGATTTCCTTAGTATTAGGCGTTAAAAATAGTACTCCGTAACCATATTATTTGTCAACCTATAGTACACTTAAGTTAATGAAAACTTACCCCGAGCCCTAAACCAGCATTCCCACCCAATTCCAAACCAACTCAAGCAGGCTCAAGCTAGGGCAGCAAGGACAACAGCACGGAGCTCTACTGCTCCGCTGACTGTGACAGACCACCCCAAACCGGGGTCCAGTGATGCTGGGGATGTTGCGCCCAATGAAGACCAACCAATCAAGCAACCCGACAACCCAACCCAACCCACCAACCAACCGCAAGACAAAGAACTCTTACACGGCCAGGGTTATTTTGAAGTGTTGAAGCCTGCCGCAGAAACAAGCAGCCTCGCGCACGGACATAGGTCCAGAATTCCAAATCAAGGTTTTGACCTGATCTCGTCCGCACAGGCCACAGGAAAAACTCCAAAAAACTCAGCCTTGAGATCCCCGCCTTCAGTTTAGGATGAGTTGGAGCTGAGTTTGTATTGAGTATTTCTGTCAGTGTTTGTTTTAGTTTTCCGGCAGGGGTTTGGCTTGGGAACAAATCTGCAGTTTCCCCCCAAGAAAACGCAACAACAAAATACAGAAACAACTTAGCAAAACCCAAAAAAAACACACTCAAAGTAAAAAAAACTCAAGCAAACCCTGAAAACAAACTCAAAGCACACTCAGAACAAAGCTCAAATTGGGAGGGCGAATGCATTTTTTTTCTCACGATTAGAATTGTTTCTGTGTTGTTTTGCTGTGTCTTCTTGAGGAAAGTCACAGATATCCTCCCCAATCAAGCCCTTGCCACAAAACTCAAGGCAACCTCGGAGCTAGAAATAAACTCAGCTGAGTTTTTGTGTGTGTGTTTTTTTGATCTGTGCTTTGTGTATCTTCTGGACTTTTGTCTGTTTCCGGTTGAGTTTTTGGGCTGAGTTGTGTTTGAGTGTTTCCTTTCTGATGAAACCCCTCCTGTCTTAGCTCATCCAGTCATAATCCCAGATATGCAAAACCACAGAGACACACAGAGACGCAGATAGACGGAGAAACCCGGAGAAACACGGAGACACCTACGCAGGCGCAGAGGCTGTCAGAGGCAGACACTGACACAACGTGTTGGGCTTCTTGCCGCCCAGGCTGCGGCGCTCGAGCTGCTGTTGAGGCACCAGGATGCTTCTGTGCGGGCAGCGGCGCAAACGGCCCTGGAGCAGGCGAATGGTGGGTGAAGCGGGGGGCGCACGAGATAGGGGGGGCCCGAAGCACGCCACGTCTTGGCTTGCACAATGGGGAGACGGGGTGGCGCTCACAGTTTAGTTTGGACTTGGACGGTCTTATGGTAAGGTCGGGGGCATGGAATGCCGCTATTGCTCTTGAGCGTTGGCCCTTCAGGGGCCCTTGTTGCCTTCCTTCAGGCCACAGGAACGCAACAGAGCATTGGGTGCTGTCACCGCAACTTTCGAAGCTCGGATTGGATGAAGATTCCCAGCTAGTTTGTATGGAGCTTTTGAATGTGTCCCACCCAGGTTGCCTATGGTCAGGCTGCCGCGCAGGCACATCTTCTTGCCGCAGGAGTGGAGGCAGCGCCTTGGCTTTGACAGGCCCCGACTGGCGCGAAGTCATGGAAGGTTTGCGCCTCCAGTCAAGCGAAAGGGCCTTTCAACCCGGATGCCTGTTCTTTTGGAAAACGCAGGACATGCTTCCCCGTTCATGTCTGCAGCGCCGCGTGGCGGGGTCCGAAAACGCATCCCCCTGTCGGCCGCACCTGTAGGTGCCAGATGCAAAGCCCTGCGAGCCTGCGACGGAAACCGCGCAGGCACGCGTGGACTGGACCTGGCACCTTCAGTTCGATTTCCGGGACACCATGTCAGAGGAAGTGAAGTTTGAGAGGGAAACCAAACGGAATCCCTTTAGTTAAGCAGCCAAAGCCCAAGTCAGACGGGAGCCTGGTGAAGATAGTCTTAAACCACGGTTTGGACTACTTGGATGGGTGAGATATGCCTACGTCCCGCAGCCAGAAAGTCAAGATGTTCTTCCGTCGGCTTGGGTTGCCTATAAGTCCAAGGAAGGTAGGTGCAGGTGGGTCACACCAGAAAACAACAAAGCCACTGCCACAGACATCTATCAGGGCTACGTAATTCTTCATGGCTTGATGTTGTGTGCTTACCTTTGGGAGGCAGGCGCAGGATTTTGGATGTCTGAAGGTGTGAGCCGACTTGGGGGCTGCCTCCGGTTGTGGCTGCTGTGCTGCTTTTTGCTGTTGCTGCTGCTGTTGTTGTACGTATGTAAAGTAAAGTAAAGTAAAGTAAAGTAAAGTAAAGTAAAGTAAAGTAAAGTAGTGTAACATAATGTAATGTAATGTAATGTAATGTTTGATTGTTTGCTTGCTTGCTTGCTTGTTTTGTTTGTTTGTTTGTTGGTGTGTGTGTGTTTGTTTGTTTGTTTGTTTGTTGGTGTGTGTGTGTTTGTTGGTTGGTTGGTTTGTTTGTTTGTTTGTTTGTTTGTTTGTTTGTGTTTGTTTGTTTGTTTGTTTGTTTGTTTTGTTTGTTTTGTTTGTTTGTTTGTTTGTTTGTTTGTTTGTGTGTGTGTGTGTGTCTGTCTGTCTGTGTGTCTGCCTGCCTGCCTGCCTGCCTGCCTGCTTGCCTGCCTGCCTGACTGTCTGTCTGTCTGTCTGTCTGTCGGTCTGTTTGCTGTTTCTGCAAAACCGCATGGCAGGAATTTGGAGGCGCTTCTGATTTCAAGATAGCTGCGTATACAGCTTTGTTTTCTGACAAGAAGTCCTGTAGCTGAGTCATTGTCTGTCTTGTTCCCTTGCATATCTTGAGTCAAGCAGCAGTGTATTGCGTACCAGGGTTTCCCAAGTGAAGTTTAACAGCGCACTGGACGGTCCCCTTGAGGCACATATTTCATTTGAAGTCGTCTGGCCCTCGTTTGAAAAAAGCTGGTCTTTTAGTCAACAGCTACTCAACAGGGTGTTTGCTTGCATGCATGCAATTGACGGGGCCCAATGTTCGGTTTGTTCTTTTGGCACAGGCGACCAGGGCGGTTGGACCTGAAAACGCCTTTGCACTCTGTGCCTCTACCTGCAGGCGGATGCGAAGCCCTGCGAGCCGGCGCCGGAAACCGCGCAGGCACGCTGGACCGCTCGGGGTTTCGGGGTGCGGGTCTGGCCCGTGAGTGTCTGCTAAGCTTCGGAACCTTTCCGGGCGTGTCTAGAAGTGGCGGTTTTTAGCAGCAAGCAAGTTGAAGGAAGCCAAGGGGTTGACAAAAATGGCAAAGAGACTCCTTTAGGGTCGTGGGTCTTTATTTAGTAAGCCACAAAGAAACCACCTGCGTTGATCCACTTTGAGACACACCCATGTCATGGTGCACATCTGCACAGCTTCCTTACTGCAATGAAGTGAGCGTTTTTCCAGCGTAGGCTTCCTTTGACATCTTTCCGGCACTGCAACATTCTCAAAAGCATCTTTTCCCCAACGCCTTCAGCTGATGTTGACAACTCGGTGGTTTTCCTGTTGGTGCCCCGATGGCCTGTAACCCGAACCGAGAAATCTGAGCCAGCACCCCCCCCTGGCGACAGACACCGAGGCTGAAATCGGGGCATGTCGCTCGGGCTTGTTGGGTGTGTTTTTACTTTTGGGTACCCCCTTTTAAGGTCCCCCTTTTGTGAATGGTTCAAGGGAAACCCCAAAACGCAACCACCCATTTTTGGGGTGTCCCTTATTTTGAGAAAGCCCGTTTTGGTTTGTGGCGAGGGTGTATGTAGAGCACATTTTCAGGGATGCTGACAGGGGCTGCAGCAACAAGTTTCCATCAGTCTATTTGGATATGATGGGTTTTAAGCCGCCGGTTTGGGTGCTTCAGCCTTTGGGATGTGTCTTCCGGTGGCTCAATGTGCGTGGATTGCCAGCAGAATCATGGTAGCTTTTGCTGTGATGCTGTGAGTGACGTGTTGCTCAAGTTGCCGGGTTTTGTTCTCAGCCCAAGCCTAGCCCTTGGCATCGCATAGGTGCCAGCTGAGGAGGCGCAGGACAAGCAGGACGCTGGGCAAACCACCACCAGTTCAAAGGTTTTCCCACCATGGCCACACCATGCTCCGTTTCTTTAGCGCGGGCGCCACTTCAGTCCAGTGTGGGCAAAGCATTTGCCGCAGATGAGGAACCTGTTGTCATTGCCAGAGGAAACGTTTTGCTCTTTTGCCCTTCTGAGTTTCCTTTTCAACCACCAACGACTTCACTTTTTGCAGGGGATCCAAGCCTGGCAGTCGGCAGCTGAGCTCCCAGTGATGGATGGGCATTCCATTCGGCAAGGAAAGGACCTTGCATCTGAGAAATCTTTACACATGGCTGTTGGAGGTTCCCATGGTTTCCAACTGCCAAGCCCCACTAGTGCTTCCAGGCCCCCCGCCCCCCCCCCGCCCCATGCCTCAACACATGTCCCGCTCTTCTGCCAAGGAGGATGGCCAGGACAACATCTCGGAGGCGAGTGGGTGGGAGCTGCTGGACGTGCTGGAGGAGCCCGAAGAGAAGACCACGTGACGTTTGAAGTGAAGTGATCCATCCCCGGCGAACTGATCGGCAGATTCGGCCTGGGAATTCGTTTGGGGGGCACAGGCGCACACACAATTGCACAGGTGGCACCGGCCCCCAGCAACAGTGCACCCTCATATTCCGCACTGACCTCACGCATTGACCCTTTGCGAAAAGAATGCGCGCTTTTGGTGAGAGACCCAAAGGCTGTTTATTCAAAGACATGTTATTTGCGTGTGGGCCCGGCTCAGGTGTTCTTGAGAATTGGCTTATGCACTGCAGGCGATACACCGCTGCGATTACAGTTCCCGCGCATGCCATTTCCCCACACACCGTCACGACCCTGGCAGCCGCTAGTGGCTCAGCACGGGTCGGGTGGAGGCCAAGTTGCGCAGCCTTGAGATGTGAGATGAGGCGTGTGAAGGGGCCAGGGTGTCGATGTTGGCGCCGGACTGATTCACTGCCACAGCTTGCCCCTCCAAAGCGGTTGACCTCTTCAATTTGTAACTAGGGCCATGCCCAGAGAGGGACAATAACTTTGCGCAGTTTGGCTTTGGCAGGTTGCATCTTGCCCTTGTCGCACGTGCCCCAGGGGCGTCGGCCCTTTGGGGGGTGGGGGGTGGGTGGGGAGCTGGGCTGGTTCATGTTTCGGAGGGCCATACTTGTTGACAATGAATGCCATGTTTGCAAGCAAGCCGTTATATGCTGCATGGCAGGTTCGCACATAAGTCAAGCAGAAGGTTGGCGTTGCCTGCACGCAGCGTGCAGAAAGTAGAGTTTGGCTGGCGCAAGTGGGTTTCGTCAAAGTCATTTGTGATAAGGATTCCCCAATGCCTTCTTTTCCCACCGGGCAGAACGCAGGCTGGCTGAACAGCAAAATTTGCAACCACTTCGGATAGGGGTGGTTCTGCTTGTCCCGCTTTCGAGGGGCAATGGAAGGCGGTCTCATATTCTGCTTGCTGATCTCCGTTTTTTTTTTTTTTTGTTGACATCAAAAAGCGCGCACGCGCAGAGGTTCGGGGGTGCTATTGGGTGCGGCACGCTATTTTGCTTTCCATACCGGGGCCTCTCTGCTGGATATGAAACATGTTCGGCTACACGACTGAAGGGAAAGTCCTTTCACCCGTGCGTCTGCTGCCCGGCATTTGCAGGTGGTGGAGGTGAGTTGACATTTCTGAAGCTTGCCTGAGCAAATCCACAAGTGGCCAATGTCGGCTAGCGGTCAGGAAGATCAAGTTCTATTACGCACCTAGGGTGAAGCAATGCTCAATTCGGCACCAGGCTTCATGACTCACTCCCCCGCTGCGGCTTACTCCACACGCTACGCGGACCAGGATAGTGGACTGTCAAAGCCACAATGAGAATCCATGACAGTTGGCCAGTAGTGCCACCATCGCATATGATCGTTTGATAGTTTCGCTTGGTAAGTAATTGTCTGTTCTCCCCCAAAGAATCCAGGACCCATGAGTGATTAGGCGAGCAACCCCAACCCAGCTTTCCGTGGCCTGGCAAGCCAACCCCAGCCAACCCAAGCCAACCTAAGCCAACCACAAGCCAGCCAGCCACGACACGCCAACTCCGTGGGTGCTCCGCGCGTTCCGCATGGGCCAAGACTTGCCATGGAGCCGGAGGGGCGGCGGCGCTCCCGCTCGGAGGAGTTTCGGGAGCGGGAGGTGAAGGAGGCCGGATGACTTGGCCGGCTGGCCATCTTTGGCCCTTTTGGCTTGGACTGTCTTGACAACCGGCGGGGCTAACAAAAATACAGCTTATCCCCCAATGATCATGAGGTGGTTTGGTTTTATCACACCTCCTCATTCCAAGATTATCACCCTTACCCCATATGATCGTTCGGATTCATCACACGTCGCCCCCACAAACCCATGCAAACTATTCAGGCCTTTTTTGTACGCAGGGCGACGTGCAGAGCTCCTACTTCGATGTGAAGCTCCAGCCCGTGGCAGGGGAGCAAGACGAACGGAGCGGGAGACGAGGGTTGGTGTTGGGTTGCTTGCGTTTCGGGTAGATCGGGTTTAGAGAAGAGTTGTGCACCTTGAAGGGCTTCACGAACTATCACAGATGTCGATGCGGGAGATCGAAGCGCCTCAAAGCGCCTCGAAGCGCCTCGAAGCGCCTCGAAGCGCCTCGAAGCAATTGGGAACTCTGCAAGCCACTTTTGGATTGGCTGAAGGTGAATGGCTCCGGCTTCAAGGCGCTTCAACTCGTGTTTTTGAGTTCAAGTTGAAGATGACCAGGTTCAAATCAAGTTGGCTTTGACCCCCAAGGTGGATCGTTCAGAAGCCAATTGGCTAGGGTTTTCGTCCCATTGCAGAGGTTTCGCTTGAGGCTTCTATCTCGATTGAGGGTGTAGGGGTTGGGTTGTGGCAAGGGCTTCGGTTTCCGCTCTGTGGAGCTGCGGGCTGGACTGATTTTCCGCAAATGGCATCCTGCTGTTGCACAATAGCTGGCCACATCGTGATCTACGAAGGGTTGGCTCATGAATTCACCCCTTCTCAATTCAAGTGCGGATGTATGGGTAGATGCAGCTCGGCTTGGGAGGCCGCGGGCGCCTCATCTTGCTAGAAGGCTAAAAACCCTGCCAGACAGGCCTCCAGGAGCAGCCTCCCAAGACAGGTGTCCGACACTGACAGAACCGCGCCGGAACAAGCGCCTCCTCGCGCAAGCTCGGATCGGCCCTGAAGTGGTTCCTCTTTCCATGGTGGCATATGTGTTCCTGACTAGCGCCAATCCGCTTCGAGCCACGCAGGAGGGGCTCACGGGGCCGGGAGCTCTTCTGGCGGTCCTTGGTGGAGAGCGCTGCGTGCTCGGAGGTGGCGGTGAATCTGCTGCTGCCCAGCCTGGTCTGCAGCCGGCGCTTGGGCGCCTGGCGACCCCCCTCGGAGCGGGGAGTATCTGTGGGGCATGGCGGGTTTTGGGCTTGAACGGGCCGGACTTTGGGGGAGGACCTCTGGGGGGAGGACTTTGGGATGTGTCTATTTGGATTTGATTTTCCATGCTGGAAACTGGCAGGAAACCTGATGTGTTCCATCCTCACGCAGGTTGAAAGCAGGGACATGAGCAGTTCAAGCCCCGCTTTCCGGGGACCACTGACTTACACGGGCACGCCCACGCATTTTTTTGCCTAGTCCAAAGCAGCGTTGCAGCCCTAAGAGGGTTAGCGCGTCCTGCAATGATGGTCAGCCATGAATCGACCGATGCCATCACCGTAGCCCCCCCTTTACAACTCCATGGCTAGGGCCTGAGCGAGGAGTGGGTGCTGCTGCTTTTGACCCTGGTGCTGAATCTTGGAGGCGAGAAGCGGCGCTTTCGACACGCGCCCCAAAACAGACAGGTTTGTCTCTCCTTTAAGGAAGATTTGTGGCAAAACGGGAATGCCTTTATGGGGATTTGTGTCAAAGAACGTTTTTTGAAACCAACCTTCACCTGGTTCGTTTCAGGTTGGTTTCAGGCTCCTTGCCTTTTCACATGGATCCAGAGTGGTCGCTGGCCTCGGTAAATCTCCACATGGCCCGAGCCGAAATGGAGACCGCGCGACCTTGCGGTTCCATTTCTGGGACGGAGGTGTATGGAGGTGGCCTCTCACTTGGGGCGAAAGGATTGGACATGAGACTGTGCCGGGGCCCATTTCAGCTTCCCTCCAAGTGGTTTGGATTCGTTGGTCAGGGATTCATGGTGGTTCCATTTGCCGTCCATAAGACCGCGGTTCAAAATCCCCAGGTTACCCAAAATGCTCTTTGGGCTGCCCGCACGATCGCTTGGGTGCAGGCCGCAAGCGCTCCCAAAAATATCGATCAGTTGATCAGGTGAGAGGCGAAGTCCCTTGCACCTCTTGGAGCCTGCTGTTTCTTCCCCCCCCTCCCCCGGAAAAATCCCCCGCCTTCCCCAGAAACCAAAAAACAAGAAAGAAGCTCAGGTGATATCCCCAACAGCATGTTTAGTCTCGCACCACCCCGCAGCCCTCGCAGAACCGCGTGGAACCCTCGTGGAACCCTCGTGGAACCCTGGTGGAACCCTGGTGGAACCCTGGTGGAACCCTCGTGGAACCTTACCTGAGGGCTCCGGAGCCTATCTGGGCTGAGACCCCAAAGCTTTCAGCTGTTGGGGAAAAAACAAGAAGCAAACGGGGAAGGGGCGCCGTCAGGCAGCTTCCTGGAGGGCTTCTTCAAGTCCACGCGCCTGCTCTCCCAGACGGTGCGCTGGAGCCAGAAGGATCACCTGCAGGCGCCATGCGGCCTGAAAATAGGATAAATCACCTGTGGGTGAAACAGGGGCCAAATGGGTAAAATGTGACAATGTTTTGAAGTCGGAAGACACAAATACATATATTTTTTAATGCAACATGGGTGAAATCGACAACAAATCATATCCCGCCCATGAGAAACGAGGCAAACATTTAGATTTGCCAGTGCCTCTCCTCTCTTTTGTTGTTTAGGCACTCAAGGTAGTTTCCTGAGAGATCCATCAGGCACCCATGCCAGGAGAGGGGACGATTCAAGTGAGGGATGAAACAGATTTGCCGACCGTGGGGGTGCTTCTTTTGTACAGCATTTGCAAGTGTAAGTCCACGGGGGCTGCCCAGTGTGGCGTGATTATTGTGGTGCATCTCTCCAAATGGGATGCAAGCAATTATCCTCCGCAACGCCGAGACCCTTCAAATGGCATCCGGATCTGATGTCCTCCTTGCGCCGAATGCCAATCTTATTTGTCCCTGAACCTTCAACCCTGAGAAACATGGCTAGCAACGAGGAGATAAAGCAAAGCCAACCGGATGGGTAAGAAGCCCCTTCATTCTGAACGGGATGCGCACGCACACACGCACACGCACGCATATACACGCAGCCAGGAATCGAGTGCATAGATAAATTCAGACAGAGACTGACAGACAGACAGGCAGAAAGAGAAAAAGGGGGCAGGGCAGGGCAGGGCAGGGCAGGGCAGGGCAGGGCAGGGCAGGGCAGGGCAGGGCAGGGCAGGGCAGGGCAGGGCAGGGCAGGGCAGGGCAGGGCAGGCAGGCAAGCAGGCAGGCAGACAAACCGGCAGGCAGGCAGGTGTTTGTGTCTCGGACAGAGAGACATAGAGAGGGAGAGAGAGAGAGAGAGCGAGAGACAGAGACAGAGACGGAGAGAGAGAGAGAGAGAGAGAGAACGACAGAAAAAATAGATGCTGAGATGATGAGATGAGACGAAACAAGATGAGAACAGACGGGATGAGACGAGATGGATGGATGGAAGGAAGGATGGAATGGAACGGAACGGAACGGAACGGAACGGAACGGAACGGAACGGAACGGAATGGAATGAGTGGGTGGGGTGCGTGGGTGGATGCATGGAATGATGGAGGATGGATGGATGGGGGATGGACAGAAAGAGAGAGAGAGAGAGAGATACATGAATAGATGGATAGATAGATAAACGAATCAAACAAAGACAAAAACATGAACAAAAAAACGGACAACGAGTCACAGACAAAGAGACATAGACAAACAGGCGCCGCAGACAAAGAGACACAGACAAAGAGACGCAGACAAAGAGACAAACAATCAAAATCACAAAGGACAAACAGACAGAGGCACAGACAAAGAGACACACAAAGAGACACAGACAAAGAGACACAGACAACGAGACACAGACAGAGAGACACAGACTGTGACAGGAGACAGGGACATAGACAAACAGGAGGCAGACAGGGAGATAGGCAGAACTACACACAGGACAGGGACCAGCGCAGGGGACAGGACAGGAGATGGAACAGGACATGAGGGAGAACAGGACGGGAAGCAAAGGGTACAGATGAGAGGGCAGGACAGGACCTGCAGATAGAAAAAGACACACCTACGCCTACAGCCACATGCTCCTAGGGATCTATGCGGGCATTGCCCTGTGCAACTATTTTTACTGATGCCGCTTTCCAAAACAACCTCGGACCCTGCGCAGGGCTCCTGAAAAGACAATTGCACTTTGGACACTTACCAAATCGCACATTTTCCAAAAGGAAACTCCATCCTGGGCTGAATCTTCGACCAAGCCGCCAGCATTGCCGGGGCTCCCCGCGTTCCGGGCCCCAGGGCCCCCGGAGTCGCGCGCCCTCCGCTTAGCGGTCGACCGAGGTCTTCGTGACGGCGGAGGCCTTCAGCGCGGGCTTCCTCAGCGTGGCTACCTCCTTTCCCGGGGTCTCCGGCAGCGCCAGCGGCATCCCCCTGGGTGCCTTGGCTCCCCCGAGCCATTTGTGTTGGGAGGCGCCGGTTTGTGTTCCCTGTTTTCCCCACCCGACAGGGAGGGTTGTTAGATCTTAAGTTGGGATCCGCGTTTGCGATGCTTCTACACCACACCCCCCCAGTATCCCGCCAGAGCAGAATCCCGCCCAGTATCCCGCCAGAGCAGCTCGCCAGTGGATCCCGCCGAGTCCCGCCAGAGCTGCTCGCCAGTGGATCCCGCCCAGTACCGCCGAAGCTGCTCGCAAGTGGATCCCGCCAAGTATCCCGCCAGAGCTGCTCGCCAGTGGATCCCGCCCAGTACCGCCGAAGCTGCTCGCAAGTGGATCCCGCCAAGTATCCCGCCAGAGCTGCTCGCCAGTGGATCCCGCCGAGTCCGCCAGAGCTGCTCGCCAGTGGATCCCGCCCAGTACCGCCGAAGCTGCTCGCAAGTGGATCCCGCCAAGTATCCCGCCAGAGCTGCTCGCCAGTGGATCCCGCCCAGTACCGCCGAAGCTGCTCGCAAGTGGATCCCGCCAAGTATCCCGCCAGAGCTGCTCGCCAGTGGATCGCGGCTCGCTAGTGGATCCCGCCGAGTAGCGGCTCGCCGGTGGATCCCGCCATGTAGCGGCTCGCCAGTGGATCCCGCCGAGTGGCCCGCCAGAGCAGCTTGCCAGTGGATCCCGCCGAGTATCCCGCCAGAGCAGCTCGCCAGTGGATCCCGCCGAGTATTTCGCCAGAGCGGCTCGCCAGTGGATTTCGCCGAGTATCCCGCCAGAGCGGCTCGCCAGTCGATCCCGCCAAGTATTCCGCCAGAGCGGCTCGCCAGTGGATCCCGCCGAGTAGCCCGTCAGAGGTGGATCCTGCCGAGTGTCCCAGAGCGGCTTGCCAGGTGGACCCCGTATCCCACCACAGCCTGTCAGTGGATCCCGCCGAGCATCCCGCTGAGTATCCCAGAGTAGCTCGCCAGTGGATCCCGCCAAGTATCCCGCCAGAGTAGCTCGCCAGTGGACCCCGCCGAGTGGATCCCGCCAAGTGTCCCGCTGAGTCGCCAGTGAAACTGGCGAGTATCCCATTGACTGAGTATCTTTTGTCGGCGGATCCTGCCGAGTATCCGGCCAGTATCAAGCCGGAGCGGCTCGCCAGCATGCGCCAGTGGATTATGCCAGTATCCCGCCAGGGCAGCTTGCCAGTCTGGGAATTTGGAGTCGAAGTCTTGAGGATGCGGGGGAATTTGTTGTAACGGTCGTAAGCTCGTGAGTGTGGAGGGTGGGGATTGCTCGAAGCAAAGTAATTATTTTTCCATTTTTTCCTTTTCTTCTCGGGTTAGTGTCTCGAGACAGGCGTGTGAGCTTCGAACAGTTTACCCCCCGATGGCTTCCCCGGAGCCTCGTTTCGCCACCTGCTCTGTCGGCTTTCGTAAGCCAGAAAGCATGACGCAAGCCGGTCTCCTACAAAAGGCAAGCACGTCCAGGAAATGCGTGCGCAAAGGAGAGAGAGAGAGAGAGAGAGAGAGAGAGAGAGGGAGAGAGAGAAACACAGAGAGAGAGAGAGAGAGAGGGAGAGAGGGAGGGAGAGAGACATAAAAAATCAAAAGAGAGAAGGGGCAAATTTGCCACAAACATGTACGTCGCCGGATGCTTCTAAGCCCCACTTCCTGTCAACCTGTCAGCCCCTCGCAGAATTGAACAGAACTGAACCGTGCCTGAGTGGAATGTGCCATCATCGCCAACGCCATTACAAGGTTGTCCTGCGCAAGGCGCGGCGGAGATGTTCCGATGCCCAACTGCTGCTGCGGCTCGAATTCCGCCTTGTTTGAGTGGCACGAGTCGGCATCACTAACCCGCTTAACAGGATCAAGCATGACAGACAGGTTTACTCATACTGGTAGGGTGGCTCTAAGCCACTGCTGTCAGTTCCTCCCTTTGTCACTTCCCAGGCTTGGTGCAAGCTGAGGTTTGAACACGCTCTGGTTCGGCGCGCTCTTCTCCTTCTCCAACATGTTGCTGGGGCTGCTGCCTGGTTGGGGAAACTGCGGGCTTGGGGTTTGAGCCGGCGGGCTCATGAGGGACAACTCAGCGGCGACGCCCTGGATGACGAGATTTCGCGCAACCAACCAATCCACCCGCCCACCCACCCACCCACCCACCCACCCAACCAACCAACCAACCAACCAACCAACCACCCAACCCAACCCAACCCAACCCAACCCAACCCAACCCAACCCAACCCAACCCAACCCAACCCAACCCAACCCAACCCAACCCAACCCAACCCAACCGAACCCAACCAACCAACCAACCAACCAACCAACCAACCAACCAACCAACCAACCAACCAACCAACCAACCAACCAACCAACCAACCAACCAATCACACCTATCAGACCTATCAACCAATCAGCCAGCCCAACCAGCCAACCCACCCACCCAACTTAAGCAGCCAACCAACCGACCCCACTACGACCAACCAACCGACCGACCGACCGACCGACCGACCGACTGACCACCCACCCACCCACCTACCCACCCGCCCGCCCGCCCCACCAAGCAGCCAACCAACCAACCAACCAACCAACCAACCAACCAACCAACCAACCAACCAACCAACCAACCAACCAACCAACCAACCAACCAACCAACCAACCAACCAACCAACCAACCAACCAACCAACCAACCAACCAACCAACCAACCAACCAACCAACCAACCAACCAACCAACCAACCAACCAACCAACCAACCAACCAACCAACCAACCAACCAACCAACCAACCAACCACACCTATCAACCAACCAGCCAGCCAACCAGCCAACCAACCAACCCCCACCCAACTTAAGCAGCCAACCAACCGACCCCACCACGACCGACCGACCGACCGACCGATTCCACCACGACCGACCGACCGACCCACCCGCCCACCCACCCACCCACCCACCCACCAGCCACCCAACCAGCCAACCAACCAGCCAACCAACCAACCAACCAACCAACCAACCAACCAACCAACCAACCAACCAACAAACCAACCAACCACACCTAACAACCAACCGAGCCCACCACGAACAACCAAGCAACGCCTCCAGGCTTTGCTACTTGTGGGGCTGCCGCCTGGGCCGGTCCGCCGTGCAGCGGCGCTGGGCCCAGCTGCTGCGCTTCGCCCACGTCTGGCCGCAGGCGGCGCGGGCTGCGACGCTTCTGGCGGTGCTGGCGCCTGTGGCGCTGAGCCCCGCCTGGGCGCAGGAGGGGCGCGGGATGGTGGGTGGGGGGTGGGCGGGGGCGGATATTTGGGAGTGCTTTTTTCACGGAACCCCAACAGAAATTTCGGAAATCCTTTTGGTTTTCCCTTGAATCCAGAAAAAAAGGTAGCTTGAAAGAAGGACACGCCCATATCTGTTTTTTTTTGGCTTGAAATGTTGGCCCATGTAAGGCCCATGTAAGGTGAGTTTCCTTTGGTAGGGGTGATGTTTTAAGGCGAAAGATCAGGAGCCGGGGGGGAGAGACCTGCAGGCACCGTGTGGCAAACATTCGGGTGAGGCAGGTGGTCGGTGCCAGCGTTTGGCAGGCCCAATGTGGGTTTCAGCCGCCTATCCAAACCGCCAGCCATGGCAAAGCTTTTCAACTTTCGACTTTCGATGGGCTCCTTGGCCTTAACGGCACCCCAAACAGTCATGCACGCCTCCGCGCGATCTGTTTTTTTGTTGATTGAGCCCGCTGCTCATTGCTTGGCCACTATTTGGTTGGATCTTGGATCTTGAGTTGAGCATGTGTGCTTTCCCTGACCAGGCAACAAGACTAAGCTTGGCCAGAAGCCGCACCACACGTTTCATGCCCAAGCTTGATCCATGCCCAAAGATCAACTTGCCCAACAGTTGGGCTCAACTTTCCCAACTCTAGGGGTACCTTCCCCATGCTTTCCAGGGATCCTTCTTTTCAGGAAACCACCGAAACCCCAGGTTGGAAGCAGCCGGTTTTTGGAAAGAACGGTGGTTGAAAAGAATGGTTGGAAGGAACCAACTTCCGGAACCACCGCCGCGCAGTGGGGTGACTTGGGGGGGTGCTGGGCTTCACTTCAGGTGGTCAGCTTCAACCTGCCGCTGGACCTGGCAGAGCCGGAGCTGCGGCCCAGCGGGGAGTGGCTGCCCAAGCTGCGGCGCCCTGGATGGTCGGGTGGGGGGAGGCTTGGGGTCTACTAAATCGTTTTTTTTTTTTTTTTTTTTTTTTTTTTTTTTTTTTTTTAATATAAAATTTTAATTATTTGTGTTGGAGGTTGGAGGGTTGGTTCTTTTCTCCTTTCTGTGGAGCACGGGTCAGGAAATGGCGAAGGGTTGGGAGTGGTTCAGGGGGCGGGGGCAGAGATCTTTGGGCTGGGGCTGGAGGGAAGGCCCTTTGGCAACTTTTTGGGGGCTTGAGGGAAGGCCCTCGTGGCGTCAAAGGAAGAGCCACAATTTTTGGGGCTTGGCCCCACTTGTGTTAATAGACCCGCAGATCCTATTTCGTGGAGCTAGTCGGAACATCAATCCCAAATCCAAACGCGCACCAGGAGATGGTTGTATGAGGGCCTGCCTTTTTTTGTGCCTGGTTCGGGGGGGGCTGGAGAGATGCGATGAGTGGTTTCCGCATGTTTCCGCCTTCCTGGGAGTGAATGCAGGCAGGGAACTTGCGGCTTGCCAGCTATCCTCCGATCCATGTAGTCTTGTTTGCTGTGCTGTGGTTGCGTTGAAGGCTGATTTGAGGCCGGCAAATTGAGACGGGTGATCAGGGAGTTGCAGCTGCTTTACAGCGGGTGGGCTCTAGGATGCATAGAGTTCGCTTAGAGGTTGGGTCTTGGCTCAACGACAATGATACGTTGTTGATGGCTGGGCTTTTGGTTGGCTTGCTGGCTTCGAGCACCCACCTTCCCCAACCTTGTGTGTTGCCGTCTATCAACAAGAAGGCTTCAAGGGGCCTTTTGCACTGCTCCATGCATTTGGCAAAGCACCCGGCATGGTTGTTGGCTGCTCTCCCAAGGGCGCATTGCCAGTGCCGATTGCCCAGGTACAATGGCTGGACCATACTGGAATGTCCAAGCTTTGTCTTTGGCTTGTGCCTTGGCCGCGGGGTTGTCATGGCGCTTGACCGGCATGGAATTGGTTTCACATAATTCAATCATGGGTGGATTGGAAAGTAGAAGCGAGGTCATGCAAACAAGACTTGCCAGGCAGAGGTTTGTTGAGAAGGACAGGGTGTTCCCGGGTGCATCCCATGTTCCTTACCCATCGGCGCCTCACAAGTGCGAGATAGCCACAAGCTTTCAGATCTGACGCAGGCTTCTTAACTGGGCGTCGCCGCAGATTCCGCCTCAGTGATGCTTTCGGGCGGAGACGCTCAAGAGAAAAGCTGGCTCAGACTTGTTGGCATCCTCTCGGAGTTCGCGTCTTGCCTTGTTACACTTGTTTCTCCGCAAGACAGGGCCACCCCAAGCGTTTCCCCCACGGTTTCCAGCCAAGAGCGCCGTTTTGTGTGGCATGCTGATCTTCCTTTCAAAGCGTGTGTGTCCATTTGAGGGACTCCCTTCTGATTCTTAAGATGGCATCATAAGAAAATGGAACAACCCGAAATAGGCCAGACTTGGCGCTTGTAGGGGAATGCTCCACCCGCTTTGCCCGTCTCACTGTGATTGCAAAGAGGCTCTGCGGCATCGGCATGAGCGTGGTGGGGGCGGCGCTGGCCACCTTCTTCTGCGGGCGCTTCGACAGCCGCAACCGCCCAGCGGCGCGGCTCCTGTCCAACGTCTTGGCCTCTTTGCTGGCCTACGTCGCGCGGGTGCGGAATGGGTCTGGGGGGACAGTGCGGGGCGCAGCCTGGTGAATTTCGGGGGGTGCTGGAGCACCCTGGGGTTCGTTTTAGCCTTAGGAGTGCAGGACCTGTGGATCATGTTGGGTTAGATTTCTGCAGGTATGCCGGTATGCCTCTTTGAAATTAAGTCGTGGGTTTCTTTGTTGGAGCCCCCTGCGCATTGAGGGCTGTTACGCCCTTGCCAGTTGGACTCATTGGGGCGCGGCAGAGTCGAAGAGCCACATTGCCACTATTAAAGCGACCCCGCGCCACTTGGCATGAGCAACAGCATACATTTTAATGGGACCCGTCTAAATGGGGTTGTATGTCCACCATTTTGAGGGGTTGCTTTCAGCACCTCCCCACCCCCGCTTTGGAGCACGTCTGCCAGAACCCGTCTCTGTGCCAAAGGCTTAGTTAACCCGTCGCCGGTTCCAAGAAAATGCTTATGGGAATGTATTTCAGAGCCGCGCTGTGTTAGCTGGGTCCTTGGTTTAGGGTCAGACTTCAGGATTGCGGTTTATTTAGTGTAAGGCAACGGCTGTTTCAAGCTTGTCAAAATGCTGCAAAAGTTGTTTTTTTGAAAGAAAGTCCGGGCTTCCTACAAGGAACGCAAGACACTTTTTGTTTTTCAGTGGCAGTGGCACCTTTCTTTTTCGTTGCTTGGCCCCAACCCCCCCCCCCTCCCCCCCCCCCCCCCCCCCTCCCCTCCCCTCCCCTCCCCTCCCCCTTTTCCCCCGTCACAGAGCAGAAAAATCGGCCCACCCCAAGCTTCATTTTGATGATGTCTCTTTCCCAACAGGCCAAGTGGCGGCTCGTTGTTTTGGTGGTTCCCTTTTTCTTGTGGTTCGAATGAACGGTTTCGCTTCGAGACCTTGGCCCGGGGCCAAGCAAACAGCGCCCGGGCAGGCGGTGGACGCTGCCCTGGACTCCGCGCAGGGAGGTTCTCTCAGCACCAGCGACTTCCTGCGCTCCAAGTTTGCCGCGGGGCAGAGACCGCGTGGGTGGTCCAACAAGGGTTTGTGTTGTTGGGTGCTGACCCCCTTTTCAGACTTTGCACGGAAAAAAAACAAAAGGAAAGCCACCAAAACGAAAACCAAAGTTTTGGGGGAAATCTCCCGTTGGACCTTTTGGCATCCCCAGTTTGGTCGATTTTCGGTACAGGCGATCATCTTTTAATTCTGTGTGATTTGGGCAAGTGAGACAGTTTTTGGGACCCTTTTCAGCTTGGTGTACAGTTGAACGAGAGACCGAAAGGAGAACCAAGAATCATTCTTTGGGGGCCCCCACTTGTGACACGTGTCCAGATCAATCCTTACCAGATGGTAGCGACTTCGCGTCAGCACTCGCTTGATAGGCTCATTAGCGACCTTGACGTTCATTTGGAGTGCCCAGATTCCATTGCTACCACTGGGGTGACTAGGGTCGGGCAACATTGGAACCATCATGAACCATCACGTTTCCCCCCGAGCAGGGGCACTCTGATGACCGCCTAGCTGGCAACACTTTTGAGCTGCCGGTGCCTAGGTTTAGGAGTGTGGGAATTGCCCACTTCTGTGATACCACTGAAAGGCCTTCCCAATGCTTGCCCTCATGCAGGCCAACATGGAAACCAACCCCATTTCGGGTTCCATGTAAATTTCAGGGGGTCACTTAGTGGAGGCTTTTTGGTGGAAGGCTCTCCTCCTAAGGTCGGCAGCTTTTGCGGCGCCTTGTCGGCCTTCTCGGGGACGATCGGGGACATCGCGGACATGCAGTTGGGGAGCGCCACGGAGGACAGCGTCCTGGACGAGAAGGAAGGCCACAAATCCCGGAGGCGGCCCCCGGGATGTGGGGGATCTGGGCGGCTGGAAGTTTGGGTGTTGACGTTTTCATTTTAGAAATCCATCACCCCAGGCCAACCAAGTATTATCACGGTGTAGTTCACCCAGAAAAGGAGAGTGACAACCAGGGTGTTCCAGTTTGACGATTGGGCCTGTTGATCCCGCTTGTCTCTTTAGCCCAGAGCATGAAGATTTGGGCTTCAGTTTGTTGATGGCCAGCACAACCGATGGCTGCTGCTTTCAAGATCTTCCACGCAGTCTTCCAAGCAACCCCCACAAGCAACCATATTGGTCAGCTCGCCCAGCCATTGAGAACCACGAGCAGGGCAGGGGAGGGGAGAGCCGTCTTTGGAAGATGATGTGGTGCCAAGGCCAGCGAGGAAAATGCACGTTGCAATGCCTAAGGTACCAAGGCGGCCGGCTGCATGGATGGAATGCATGCTTGGCCTGCCTTGGCAGGTTGACGGACCTCTCCAAGATCCCTGCGGTGTACAACTTTTTGCTGCACTGGGTGCTGACGCTGCTGGTGATGTGGGGCTGTGCGCGCACCTTGGGCATGCAGAAGCCGGCGGGTGGGCCTCGCAGAACCGCTTTATGCTCGGCTCATGCACCACCCCACGCAGAGGCACAACAGACACTTGAACTTTGTGCAAGCCTGGTCATGGATGGGGTGGCAGCCCTTGGAATCCACCACCAGTTGGCCCGATTTCCAGCCGGCAAGTGCGGCTTTTGTCGCATGTGTGCACGCAGGCAGGTGAAAACAAATAACATAGGATTGATTATGGGCGGGCACTTGATTCATGCATCTGCTGCCGAACCAGGCAATCTGCTGAAGGGTAACGATTGTGCTTTGCGATCAAGCTGATCTCAGACGTTGCATGCTAGCTTTTGACCGCTCCGAAGCGAGACCGAAATAATGGGGGGCAACGCGGCCATCATGCACACCCACAGGCACGCACAAACACGCGCACGCGCACGCGCGTGCACGCATGCACGCGCGCACACACGCATGCATTCACGAATCATGGACACAACTATAACTTGATGCTTTTCTTGCTGTTGACAAGATGCACAAGACTATATGGGCGTGCCTGTCTGCAGCAAGCTCACTTGGCCCACTTTCCCCACCTCCTATGCCCATGTCTTCACTCATGCGCCGACTCAGCCCTTCCTTGATCCGAGCGCGTGCCATGCTTGGGTGCAGTTTTCCACACTTCCCTGGCACCCCCACACCAGAAATTTTCTGTTCCAGTAAACGAGGTCAGGAAACCCTTCAGGTTCCACGGAAAAGTGGGCAAGCTTCGAGCCCTGAGGTTTTGAGTCCTGGCCCCATGATTTGCCGACGCCGCTGCCTCTGGCACCATCCGTGGCTATGCCTTTGACCGCGTCGCCATTGCCAGCGCGGCCATTGGTGCGATCTCATGCCGTTGTGCGGTGGGGCGTGCTGGAGCCAGATAACGAGGTGTAAACAGCGCGAAGGGGCTGCAGCACCTCTTGCCACATGTGTTGCCTCCTTTTGCCAAGTGTCCTCATCTAGCATTGTGCTGTTTAGATGTTTAGTCTGGCTTGCTTGTTTGCTTGCTTGCTTGCTTGCTTGCTTGCTTGCGTGCCTGCTTGCGTGCTTGCTTGCTTTCCCTTGCGCAGAGCAACACATTGCAATTTTCGAAGGTTGTGTGAATTGTTTGTGATGCAAAGCAGGAAGGCCAAACTCGAGTAGAATTTATTTCTACCATCGTTCAGCTGTTTTGCTGCCAAATGTCTGGCTAGTCGCGCACGATGTGTTTTCGCCGGCAGCTGGCCGCGTATGTTGTGCTCCAGGTGTAGGCGGATGCAACAAGTTGCCACAGTCACCATTGCTTCCACCATTCAGGACACTCCCAGTCAGGCCGCAGAGAAAAAGAAAGAAATGGATTCCTGTAGCAGCGCAGAGAGAGAGAGAGAGAGAGAGAGGTCTGATGAATTCAGATGATCCCCTTTGCGCAATGATTTTTGGGGTTTTCAGAATCCCGCAAGCAGGCAGACCAACCCGTAGCCAGCTTCCCACCAGCCCCCTGCTGCTCCCAGCCGTCAAGCAATGGCCAATCGCTGCCTGCGGCGAGGCTGGTGCGTCATGGGGCCACCCCAAAGAATGTTATACCAAGAGGAACTCCTGTACAAATTGTACTGCTCCTGAGATTCCATATGTTTGCTCACAGGTGTCTTTTTTGCGGTTGCTTAGTCACTGGAGATGGTGTTTTGGTCTCACCCGATTTTGGCAGCTGGCACTGAAGCTATTTTGTCATGCGGCTAATGCACCGCCCTGCGACTCGTGCGATGCTTCTTAAGCTCACACGCAGGTAGACATGCCTTGGCGAGCACGAGACGCGCGCCTAAGTGCACCCGTGCAGGACTGCACTGCTCGAATGCCTGCCAAATGATGAGCACGTGCGCTCGAGTGCACCCGCGCGGCATTCCTCACGTCCCTGCAAATGATCCGCGCACATGCTCAAGTGCACCCGCGCAGCACTGCTCACGTGCGTCCTGCTGGTTTTGGTCACGCACACTCTTTGCATGGTCTGCTCAAAATGTGGCATGTCATTGCCACCGACTTTTTGCTTTGGTTGGATAGCTCTTTGTCACACTAGGAAAAATGCTGTGAACCTTGAATAAACATGTTTCCGTCCAGACCCTTAAAAAAGTGTGTTTCACACTGGCAAAGGGCATCTTGTTTTGTTCGTGAAGTGACTCACGCTTGTCATGGCCCGTTGGGCTGTGAGTATTGAGCGACTGGCGAGGCGAGATCTGCGATGGAAGGCCTGGCTGGGGGTATGGCTGACATGGCCACAGGCAACTGCTCGGGGCAAATTTGACCAGGGAGCATCGCTGCCTGAATTGGCCTTTTGTGCGCAGACTTATTGTTTGCTAATGGGCGTGCCTGCAACAGTGCTCTCCCCAAATTTGAGCCTTCGAGTCGTGTGCCGTTGCATTACCTTGGCTCAAGTTTCCACAAAAGATGGAACCGGACAGTCTTTTGTAGGTGTCCTTTCCAGTTGCATAGTGGGGATAGTGCAGCTTTCTCCCATGAAATTCTGGCGCCCTTTGCGGCATGGAGTAAGGGAAAACCGAAAACCGGCACTCTGGAGGTTCTCGAGTCAGTAAAGCAGAGCGAGAAACAAAGAGCCATTGAGGAATGGCTGGCGCAGGGGCAATGAACAAAGCGGAGATGCCTTTCGACCTCAGACCAATCATTGGGAATCCAATATGTGGGACACGCAGAAGCGTTTTTGCAAGCATAGACCTCTGCCGGAGGGAAACTCTTTCCACCAGCTAAGGATTGATGAAGAACCACTTGCTTGTTCAGAATGCTTGATAAAAGTAGAAGGTGACAGCATCTCTGCAAAGCTGAATGCTGGCACCACATGCTGGGGGCAACTGCGCACAACTGGTCGTCTTGTGTCATTTCCTTGCCTACGCTCTGATCACTTCGTGTCGCTCTTGCTTGCGTGAGGGAGGGCCAACGGACTTTATGTACAAAGCAAAGGATGAGCTCGATTTCGAACTTAGGTTTCAGAGTCATGTGGCCATTCTCCTGTCCAAAGTTGGCTGGCAACGGTGGGACCCTGTGTCACCTGTCTAAAGTGGTTGGTGGATGGTCCTCACTGGTTCTGGTTGGATGACATGCCCAACCCGCTGCCGTATTGTTTGGCTAGGGGGCGAGAAGGACGAGCGCGACGAGCGGGCAGGCGTGGGGGCAGTAAGAAATGGGGTGTTTGCATCCCCGGGACACGAGCGTGGTGTAGAGGTTGTGCTAATTGTTTTGCTTAACGCATGAGCACAGCAAGCTTTTGCTTGGCTTATGGCCAGCCTTTTGCGCAGGTGCCCGCCAGAACTCAGCTTCTCGGCGGGAGGTCACCGGAAAGGGTGTTGAACAGTTTCAAAACGGTTTGTGGCCAGGACTTGGGATGTCAGGGTTCTCTACATGTCTCCTTGTGGTGGTTGTAAACATCACCTTCTGGGCCTTCTTGGTTTGGTGGGGCGATGTTCAACGCGGGGCTGGTTTTGCCGGGTTGAGGCTGGCTTTGCGTGCGTTGCTGGGATTGTCATTGCGCCGTGCAGAGTTGCTCTTCCTGCATCAATATCGGGGATGTTGGTGTGAGCATGTGGGCAATTTTGTCGGCTTTTGCCTGGGCTTCCCTTGGGCATCACTGGCGCAATTGCTACAAGCAAACGTGTTTGTAATGCTCTGCCCACTTGGTAAGTCGCAGTCGCACCAGCCTTAGATAATCTGGTATGCAACAAAGGAACGGCGATACAGTTGGCCAAGCAGGATACTTGAGTTCGCACGGGTTCCAGCAAGGATGGCGAAATCACTGGGGGCTAGTGCCATTGCACCTGTCCAATCCATCTCTGCAAAGAGCCATCCGGGCCTCAGGAATGGCTTCATACAGGCGGGGTGGGGCAATGCGGGATGGAGAGAAAAGCGTTTGTGTTGTTTGTTGGATGGATGGTTTTGTATTGGTTTTTGTGTTGTTGCTTTGCTTTGTTTTGGTTGTTTGGTTTGGTTTTGACTTTGTTTGCTTGATTGCTTGCTTGTTTGTTGTTGTTTTGTTTGCGTTCCCGCCTGCTTGCACCTGCCTGTACCTGCTGTCTGCGTGATGATGGGGCCTCAATTTTGGAAGTTCTTTTTTGGTACACAGCCCCCGTTCACCAAAACAGACCTGTAAAACACAATCTGGCAGGCTGGCCCACAGTTTTTCGTGGCAACATGGGGGGACGAATTCTGTTTCTTCGGTTCCTTCTAGCCCTGATGAGTGTTTCGGGGGAGGGAAGGTACATCACTGACTTGCTGAACAATTGCAGGCTCTGGCACCTGGGGGTGGTTGAGCCAATAGGCTTTGGAAGGAACCTGAAGCTGGATGATGTTTCAAACCCAACCTACGAGATGTTGAGATGTTGCCCTTCGTTTCAGGGGGTGGGGATCCTCAAGCTACCCAGCATAATGGCCCAAAAATGAGCGCACAAAGGACGCTTCAAACAGGCAATAAATCAAGGATGAGTGCTCTGCACCCGATGAGATCAGGCGACCTGGTGCTGCTGAAGTGCCATTTGCGCGACAATGACGTATTCGCCGAAGCGGGCACGAACCCGCACGACACCGGCTCCTCGCCAGCGACAAACCTCCATGGGAGCTCGTCCTTAATCGTCGTCGTGCCTTGCAAAAAGATAGTCAAGGACCTCCGGGGCTATGGGGAGAGATAGCCTTCCTAGTAAATCTGAGCAAGGTGCAATGAGGTGCATCATCTGAGATGGGGTTGATCAAGGGAAGAGGTTGCGCCTTGCACTCACGGTTGCGAACTGCCAGCAGCACGAAACTGCGTCGGCCTTTTGAAGCCGGAACAAACCAGCTTGCTTGATCACCCCTTCGCACCTTTGCCAGGTTGCCGAGACCGCAAGGTTCCAAAGTTTCGGAGGGCGTACCCTATTGTGAGGGTTCCTCAAAACGACGCCTATTTGGATCCTTTTGCAAGCTCAACCGGGAGCTGATGTCGCAGGGGTCCCCGTTCTCAAACTCTCATGTCGTGGAAGAGAATTTCGGCGCATCCCGATGGGGCCATCTGAGGTTACCTGCGGGGGTCTGGCATGCACGCCACCCTTGAGGCGCACGCGATCATATGGCCAGGCCCATTTAGGCCATGACATTCATGTTGCCGTTGCAGCCATGGTAATTATCCCGAGAAAACATGCGGCAAGAGCGTGTGTAGCTACTCAGCCTTTTTTCTTTCCCTGGTACGTACCGCTTTTGTATGGATGGACTCGACTTTGAAGCCCTTGGGCCCTCGTAAGCTGAGCGCGAAAACAAGCCCTAGGCGGTTAGGCTCAATGCTCCCTCGAACCGAGTCACGTCTCAAAGCAAAACCGGATTTTCCATGTGACGTGAGCGGCGGCTTTGTGGCACGGATGGGTAATCTGGCTCTTTCTGGCGCAGCTTCAGCCTCGGCTCCGTTTGCCTCTTTTTGCACTTTGGAGTTGGTTTGCTGCTTTTTCTCGTCCTTTTTCTGGGCCTTTCTCACCCTGGAAGCTTTGGGGCGGCCCGGTCTCCAGAAAACTCAGTTTTCCAAGTTGGCCGTTTGTTTTCTTCCAACCCGAACGGGGGCCATCAACTGCGACATTTTGGGTTGGGGTTCCAGGCCCGGGCCTCAGGTGGAGGCCATCGACGACATTCAGAGTGGCAAGGTGGACGTGCGGGACTTCATCTTCCAAGTGGTGGATCAGCTCAGCAACTTGTCTGGGGGGGGGCGGTGGCTTGAGTGCTTGGGACGTTGACTTGAGCTGTGCCTGCGGCTTTTTGGACCAATAGCGGTGAATAGCGGTTTGTTGGCTCAGGATTGGTTTCCGGGGGTCATCCATTAAGCCCGCATTGCTCATTTCGTCCTCTCAACGCCAGGGATGGATGGGTTCAGAACATGTCTCACCAGGTTGCTGTTCCGTCATACTTTTGATAGGGGGTCGCTGAAAACATCTTACAGCGCGAGCTGCGTTGAGTGCAACCTTGGAAAGGGAGATGCCCCTTGTTGGATGCCCAATATGAGACATCTTTGCAAGGCTTCAGCAGGGGGACGTAGGAACACGACGGAGGCACAAGCGCGCCCTTCGCGCATTGGTTGGATGACCCCTGGTCAAGGCCGCAAGCGCGAAGTTGGGAGTTCGTCTTCCCATTTGCGCTGGCCCGCAATTCTTCAGGACCCCTCTGCCCTGATTCACCGATAGAAAGCCTCCTGTTCTTATCCTTCCACTTTCTGGAAACCAGGCGGCAGGAAGTCGGGGTCGACGTTGGCAAGACTTAAGGCTACAACGCCCAGAAAGATTTGCAGAAGCAGAAGAAGCAGCTCCTGCAGCAGGGCCACGACCCCAACTCCGCGCGCCGGGAAGCCCGGGGAAGCCCGGCCTGGCGCCATTGG